GGAATGGGTCACCATCCTCCAGGGGATCTTCTAAACCCAGGGATCAAACCCATGTCTCTTATGTCTCCTGCACTGGCAGGCGGGTGCTTTACCACTAATGCCACGTGGGAAGCCCTAAAGGGAGATGTGCCAAGATGCTCAGTTGGGTCCGACTCTTTGTGACCCCCCTGGACTATAGCCCACCAGCTCCTCTGTCCATGGGATTCTCCAGGCAAGAATACTGGAGTGGGTTGCCATTTCCTTATCTTGTAACTCATGACATGCCCCTTTAAAGGGCAGCTGAGTTCCTGCTAACCAGGTGACCCGAGGAAATCCCCTAAGGATGGGGCTGGTTTCCAGAAGGCCCCACCTCGATTAGAGGGTGGGAGCTCTGATCTGCCAACCGCTGATCTCCAGGGAGGGGAGGGAAGCTAGATACTGAATTGGCGGTTGATGGTCAATGATCTCATCAATGCTGCCTACATGATGGAGCCTCCGTATGAGCCCCGTGAGACAGGGTGCGGATGGCTTCTGGGCCACTGAGCCAGGACCCATCTGGGGTGGTGGCACCCCAAACTCCCCAGGGACAGAAGCTCCTGTGTTTGGGACCCTTCCAGACCCAGCCCGGGGTTATCTCTTCACAGAACTCTTCATTTGTATGTTAATATCTTTTGTCATACACTGGTCATATGATAAGAAAACTGATGATTTCCTGAGTCTGGGAGCCATCCTAGTGAATTAATGGAACCCGAGGATGGGTCCCCCGGAACTTCTGGGCTTAGCCAATCTGGGCAGAAGCCCTTCACCTGTGGGACCAAGGGTTTCTCCAAACAGATGGGGTTGCAACTGAGCTGAATTACAGGACACCCAGCTGGTACCAGAGAGCTGCCTTGTGGTGCTGGGAGAAAAACTACATATGGTAATCACAAAGCGAGCATAAACTTCAAACTCACTATAGTTGTAAGTGGAAGGTACGCTATGAATGGAATTCTCTCTTCTGTTATCTGATGCATTAGAACATGAAGAAGTTCTTCAAAGAAAAGTACAACCAAGACCACAGACCTTTCTCATAAAAACTGTCCACACTGCGTGTGGAAATGAACATCTGTCTGTTCACTCAACTCCTGGGGACTCCCGTGCCTAGCACCTGCTCACGGGTGAGTGAAGATACAGTTTGGGAAATGCACCACACCTCTAGGAAATAATAAAGGGAATTCTAAACTCAAATGATGAGCAAGTTTGTAGTAATAGAGTTAGGGGCCAGGACAGATCAGAGAAGGGAGGGTAATCATCCAAGCAGAGGAAAAGGCCAACTTGGGTATCTTACACGTCCCCACATGAAGACCCAGCAGCCCATCAAGTGAAGCCAGCCCTGTGCATGCTCCACAGCTCTACTCAAGACATTTTATGAAACATCCAGAGCTGACCATCTCTTTCAGGGTTTAGGAACTTCTTCCTAGAGACCTTAGCACCTTTGTGTATCTTTTATTGGGAGTTAGTGTCTAAATCCTTTCCCAATCCTGTAAATCCTGTAAGAGGTGTGTGTGAAATGGTACCTATCTCGTGTTTCTGTCTGTGGTTTTTTTTTCTGCATAGGTGAGATAATCAGCATTTCAAGAGGGGTCTGGTGATGGGGTTGATGACTTTGGGAACAAACGCTGAACAACTATGAAGTAGGGAAATCCCTGTGTAGATACCACACCCCTGGGACGCATAAAGAGAACCCTCCAAACCCCGTGACCTCTGAAACAGTTTTAGAACCCATTTCACGAAGGTAAATTCCTCCCAGTATACAAGCCACCAAGCTCACCTTCGGAACCAACACTACAGCTTTTGTTGCCAGGATGCCAATAGCAGTAAGAAAGCAGGAGTGTTCCTAATCACCCTCAGACAGAGGAAAGATAATGCATCCCTAGAGGATGCGCCCCCAAAAGTCATCTCACAAGTGTGTGTCCCTGTTCCCCAGGAGGGTGGACAGCGGGGAAGCTGTGTGCCATACAAGTTCCCGTAACTCATCTACAAACCTCAAAGCCTTTCCTCAGCTCACCGTGGCTTATTATGTGCAGGCATCAACACCAGAAGGCCATCATGTCTAGCAGGACTGAATCAGTGAGGTATCCACGTGGCCCGAATACAGCTCTCACTGCAGGCGGTTCTACTCTGGGTTTCTGTCCAACACAGAAACGGGAAGATCGGAAAAGATCGGAGGCCCATGACATCATAGAAGCATTTGGTCAGTGACCAGAGCCCACAGTCAGCGGCCACAGGAAGAACATCCACTTCCATACATAAGAAATGAATCCTCAGGCTGCAACTTTTATTCAAAAGCAGCACTGTTCAACCATGAGATTCTCGGGGATCCCTGTGGCTTGCAGACCTCAGACCCTCACCATCTGTCTTCTGAACCTCCCCGGACAGAGCTCTGGTCACCAAGGGTGTGGCCAACCTCATTCACCCCCCATCTGCGTGCAGGACCACCAACACACACCACGGAAGGGGCACCCTGTCACCCAGGGCATCGGGCAGTCCTCGGGACTTTGATTTTTTTTTTAAACCAACCTTTACTCTGTCTCCAGGAAGCAACTCAATGTCTGGGAAAAGCTCCCAGAGACAGAGTAGGGCAACTGAGTGTGAAGTAATCTCCTCTGGATAATCAAATTTTCCACTGACCCCAGACCTCCTGCCAGAGGATCTGCCTTCCTCAAACAGCCCATTTAATTTAAACCATGGTTAAAGAAGTAGGATATCAACAGAGTCATACAGCAAGACTGGGTTGAAAAAAAAATGCAAGTCATCCCCCCAGCCCGTACAAATTTTCAAATGTAGATTATCTGAAAAGGCAGGGATTTGAAAACCTAATTTCTCTTCTGAGAGAGTGGAAAACTTTCGATCCCTTTCAAGGGTATTAAGTTGCAGATGAAAGGTGGCTTCATTCTCACAATATTAGAAATAAAGTTTATGAAAAAGACTCTCCTCAAGAATGAAGCTAGAAGTTGGGGACCATTCCACCCATGTTCTTTCTTTTATTCATTACGCCAAAACAAGACTAGAGGGCATACCAGGGAGTTTGCCTTCCCTTAATCAGCTAACTGTCATCAGCAGTAAACTTCTAGAGCAACGTGTAAGGAATAAAACGTTCACAAAGATTTTATGAAAATAGATTTTCAATTAAGGATTACAGCACAGCAAAGGCAAGCCAGGTGCTATTGTCATGGTTCTTGGGAGCAAGAGACGACGGGTCCAGACCACATGGTCACACACGGGCACATGAGTGAGGGGAGACTGGAGTAAAACGGAATCTGCCTGCCTGGCTGCAAGGGGACGTGGCCCTTCGCCCACCACCCTGGCAGGACCAGGTGTCCCCCTTTTACACATCACACCTCAGACGTGGGTCCAGAGAGCTCCGAGTGCCCGGCCAGGCGATGGAGTCTGTGTCTCTGTCCCTGTGTGCGTCTTGCTTCACGAACACGGACATCATGCAGCTCACTGCACCCCTTCCACGGCAGTGACATGTGCAGCCACTCAACTGTCAGCGATGGAATAAATCATCCCGTCCTCATTGGGAATGTAAAATATCACCTGAATTCCAATCAAGCTGCAAGCACAAAGAATTTGCCAGTCATCAAATCCAGGAGAGGCTGTGATTACCCAGAGACTTCCACAAACAACTGATGAAAACTTAGGGCTCAGTAAGTCTCAAAACAACGATTTAAGTGGCATGATCACTCAAGTAAAGCGGACTGGATTTAGCTGGGATGTGACATTTCAGAGAAGGCACAAACCCGACGGCAGAGTCATAATTATCAATTTAGGAATTGACAGAAGGTGGAAAAGTTGAGCGAGCTTGTGTCTGATTTTCTTCTTAGGCCAACAACCAGATGAGTCTGAAAATATGACCGGTGGCTGTAGGCTTATCTAGACTCAGTTCGACCTGCTCTGATGGCCCTTATGAAATGCAGACACAGAGGAGGGTGTTCGGTGGGCACCCTGGGGAATTGCTTTGTTCGCTGTGTGAGAGAAAATGAGATCAGTGTTCTCACTCTTTATTTTTCTGAAGTAAATGCAGAGAGAGGGGAGTGGGAGGGAAGATCTTAAAAGTTTTTTAATGAAGATGCCACATATGCCATGTATATGAAGATGGTGCTGTATGACAGTGTACTAAGTTACTGGAAGAAACACTGACTGGACCACAGATTTAGGTAAAGAATCAATCAAGCATCATCATTATTATCATCAGCAGGATGAACCTGAATCTTCTCCCCCGCAGGGGTCCTAAATGTGCAAGTTTTACATTTACATTAAGGCATCACATAAGACAGGAATTGTGGGTGTGGGTGGGAACTTAATTGGAAAATAGTACTCCACACATGTTTCTGTCCTGTTTATACATGAAATTATGCAATGGCAAGAACTGGAGTGGGGAAGGAGGGACACAGATGTATTTTCACAGACAATTAGTTAAGCCTGGGAGAAACCCAGGCTGATGAAGGTTCAGGAATGAGGGGCTTGTCGTCCCTGTGTATGTCAGGGACGGGAGGGGGTGCCTACAAAACAGTCCCTTCAAACAGTTACTGAGCTCCTCAGGCCGAAGTCAAGTTCAAAACGCAGGGTGATCGGTCCTCTGCCAGGCAACAGGTGCCTCGCTGTGGGTGTGGTTAAGTCGGCTGGGTTCTGGTCCAATTTGAATACATTTTTCATTTCTTGCCTCTTTTTATTGAACGCAAGACCTCGCAACCGCTCAGTAACTGGGTCCCTCCATACACAGCCCTGCTTCCGCCCCGCACCCTGGGATCCAACCAACGGGAGCCCCGGCACCCCCAAAGGAATTTCTGCATTTCCAGCTGTACCTTCAAAGTCTCACGGTGGGCCCCCGCCTCCGGCCCCTCCCTCACCACCAAGGACCCCGCGGACTAGTCATGTGTGGAAACAGAGCCCCACCTCCGGAGCAGCCCACGGCAACCCAGAAAGGGTTAAAACATCAGCCAAATAAACATGCTCACACACAGTTTCCAGAGAACAAGATGGCAACCTCCTGGTCCTCGCCAGGAGGGTCCGGCGCCCTGACCCCCGTGGCTCCTGGTCCGGGGCCGGGATGCAGACGGCAGGGGCCCCAAGGTGGCGCGGTGCCCCGTGCGGTCGGGGGTCGGCGGGGGACGAGGGACGCCGGGGACGGGGAGCGGCGAGGGGGGGGGGTGGTCCTCGACTTAGCAAAGTTGTCAAGGCGCAGGTGCCCCCCTTGCCTGCCGCCCAGTGGTCCCCGGCGGCACACGGGCCTCCTCGGGGGACGATGTGCCATCATTACGCTCGCTGGCACCGTCAGCCTTTTTTGTGGGTCGGGGGTGGGGGGTGGTCACAGTTGTCACACCCGGGAGCAGGGCCCCGCCCAGCCGGCAGCCGCGGTAGCAGCGGCCGGAGCCAAGAGACAGGCCCCCGCCCCGGGTGAGCCACGGGCTTCGCGGACCCCAACAGGTCCCGGGCTCCGGGATCTCAAGGCCGGCGCGGGCATCCGGGCCCAGCGGTCCTGCCCTGGCCTCGGCGACCCGGCTCTCCGCGGGTCCCTCCCCTCCCCGCCACGGCCCCGGGGGTCCGCCGCGAGCTGGAACGGACGCGCGGCCGGCTGGGGGCTGCTCCGCCGCCCCTTCCCCACCGCGCGCAGCCCGCCCTCGCCCCGGACCCCGAGCCACCTGTCCAAAGCACAGGGACCCAGGGCCGTAAAGTTGCAATTTGCAAACAGGCGGCAGATCCACCGCACCCAGGCGGCCGCCGCTGGGGGGTTCCGGTGGGATCTGGCGGTGGTGCACAGGGTCGCCGTCAGTCCCGGGGGTGCCGCGCTCATCCCCAGCACTGGTCCCTCGGTGCCGGTCCTCCCGGCCACGCGCGCCTCACCCACCAGCACTCACCATCACGTTTCCTTGCATTTTAGCCGTCTTAATCATCGCCTTCTCCTTCATTTTGCCCCAAGTCTGAACCCGACTTCTGGCCCGGAGAAGAGTAACTTAATCCATTGTCTCACTGATGATTAAAGTAGAGATTGGACCGGCCGAGGACTGGGTGGAGTTGGCTTTTGAAGGAAAAAAAAAATTTTTTTGCAGCGCTTCAGCGTCCCCCCTCCGCCACCCTGCCCCTCTCCACTCTCGGGCGGATCACAATAGCAATCAACTCTTTTCGGCCGTCACTTGGAAAGAAAAATTAAAAAGACGGAGAAGAGGGTGTGGGGGTGTTGCTGCTTTCAACAAAAGCCGGCGGGCGCCGGGAGCGGGGGCGCGGGTAAAGAAGCTGCGAGGCGCGGGGCCAGCTCGACAGCCTGCGTGTCCGGCGGGCCGGCCGGCCGAGCTTCGCCAGCGACAGCGGCTGGCGCGACGCGCGGGGCGCACGCGGGGACCCTGGGCGGCGCGGCCAGGGTGGGGATGCTCGGCAGGGGCCGGGCGCCGGGCGCCGAACTGGTCCCTAAGGGCGGGGACCCCGGCGAGCTGGCGGCGGCCACAGTGCAGGCGGGCCCTTGTGTGTGTATATCTGTGTGTGCGTGTGTGTGTATGTTGTGTGCGCGCGCGCGCGCGTCCACACACGGCTGCGCTGCTTGAACCCGGCTGGACCAGGATGCTTCGAGCCGCAGCAAGGTTAAGCAAGCCGAACCTTCTGGGTAGAACCGGAACCCCCCGAAGCACCCCTCCCGGGTACACGCCCCCTCCCCGCGGGCCCAGTGTGCGCCGCGCACGCTCGCTGGGTTTTACAAATAGGCACCACCAAGGTGCCGGCGGGTGGAGTCGCCGCCTGCCGCCCAGCGTGAGCGTAAGATCGACTGAGACCACCTCCCGGCGGCGCCCCCCGGAGGGAAGGGAGAGGCCGGGCAGAGCTGGGAGAGGCCGGGCAGAACTGGGCGCCGCCTAGCACTTCGGTGGCTCAGGCGAGGCGCGGGAAGCTGAGCGCTCATAAATATTGTTGTTTCGGGTTACCACGGGACGCACGGAGCGTCTCCATGGTTGCAGCGATGATCTGCGTCCGAATCTGCCGCCGCGGCGGGTCCAGGGCCCGGGGAACCTCGCTGGGCGGCGGCACTCGCGGCGCCGGCCGGCTCTGCGCCGGCTCACCTGGCTTCCCAGGCTACGCTATCTCCCCCAGCCCCGGCCTCCGTCCCAGCCGCGGCCCCGCGAGCGTCTTTGTTTCTGGATCTGATCCTGCCGGCTTCCCACACTCCAGCCTCACGCCAAGGGGTCTGCCTCGCCCCCTGAGCCCCCACCGCAGCTCTGATGCACCCACCCACCGCCCCCCAGCCTTCACCCCAAGCGGCTGGTTGCCTGCTGATCGCGCCGGGTGTTCCCTGGTTACCACCCCAGGCCGCTCCCGGGAGGCCGCAACAGTTCCCAGGCGCGGCTTAGCTCCGTGGACCACACGGGGACGCGCGCTCCCGAGAGCACGCACGCCAAGAGGGGTCAAATTCAAATGCTGCCAACCCAGGCCGCCAGGAAGAGCACCGAGGATGCTCCGCGCGCCGCGGCTTCCCTCCTCCACCGAGGATCAGGCCACCGCCGAAATGGGACTGGAGCTGTTTCAGCCGACACCAGCGCATCAGGCTTGAACTCACTGGTTGTGTGTGTGTGTGTGTGTGTGTGTGTGTGTGTGTGTGTGTGTGTGTGTGTGTGTGTGTGTGTGTGTGTGTGTGTGTGTGTGTGTGTGTGTACACGTCCTCGCCTGGGGGAAGGCAGTGGTGGGGGGTAATGTGAAGCTGGGAGGAATTTGAGAAACCATTCCATTTCTTTATATTCATAAAAAATCGCTTGTAAGAATGAACAAGAGCCCAGTTTCCAACGCACACAGAAAATATTGAGCAATTGCTACCGTAATCAAATGCAAATTACTCACAATGCCTGCATATATGAAACATTATATATAAGCATTATATATATATATACACAGACACACATATACCAGGTATATATAAGCACATGCAAGCAGTTGGTTTACAGGTGAAAAAGACTTGTAACTAATGATTTGTCGTAAAAGATAAGTGGAAGAAATAGGTGAAACAAAGCTGAATTGAAAAGCAGAGGATTCGGATTAGCCTGAAAAGTGGCAGGCATAACACTTTTTTTTTTTTTTTTAGGTTTAAGAAGCTCTCTCCTATGTTAGGATTCTTAATGACAGCTTTTCTCTAAAAATGAACATGGGCACAGATCATCCTTGTACTGTTGACCTTTACACTAAACCCAGCTTAATGTGGACAAAAATATTTCCAGTCTAAATTCTGATTTTAAGAAGCATTAAGATGGTTCTTTCTCCTTTTTATTTGAAGTGGCATTAATACCTTCAGAATCTTCTTCCCTCTCTTTCCCACCAAAACTGCTCCCTCAAAACCTGGCTTTTCCCATCACATCCCATCCCATATTGGCGTAGGGAGAAAAAAATAAGAAAAGACAGAAATATTTTTTAATGGAGGTATAACTGACATATCACATTATGTCAGTTTCAGGTGTGCAAGGTAGTGATTTGATATTTGTAAACACTGTGAAATGATCATCACAAGAGGTTTATTTAGCATCCATCACCACACCTAACTAAAATTTTTTCTTGTGATGAGGACTTTTTAAGATCTAGTCTCTTAGCAACTTTCAAATATGCAATTCAGTACTAGTAACTACAGTTACCATGCTATACATTATATTCCCAGACATTTCATAACTAGAAAAGTGAAAGTGAAAGTCGATCAGTCCTGTATGACTCTTTGTGACTCCATAGACTATACAGTCCATGGAATTCTTCAGGCCAGAATACTGTAGTGGGTAGCCTTTTCCTTCTCCAAAGGATCTTCCCAACCCAGGGATCAAACCCAGGTCTCCTGCATCGCAGGTGGATTCTTTACCAGCTGAGCCACAGTTCAGTTCAGTTGCTCAGTGGTGTCTGACTCTTTGTGACCCCATGAACCACAGCACGCCAGGCCTCCCTGTCCATCACCAACTCCCATAGTCCACCCAAACCCATGTCCATTGCGTTGGTGATGCCATCCAACCATCTCATCCTCTGTCGTCCCCTTCTCCTCCTGCCTTCAATCTTTCCCAGCATCAGGCTCTTTTCAAATGAGTCAGCTCTTCACATCAGGTGGCCAAAGTATTGGAGTTTCAACTTCAACATCAGTCCTTGCAATGGACACCCAGGACTGACCTCCTTTAGGATGGACTGGCTGGATCTCCTCACAAGGGAAGCCCAAAGGATAACCTGGACTTGTCCAAGATTTGAACCTGGGACCTCTCACACCCGAAGCAAGAATCATACCCCTAGACCAATGAACCACCCCTGCAAGGGCTTTCTCAACACTTCTTTGGTAACTGGAAGTTTGTCCTTTTTGACCACCTTCACCCATTTCTCCTTGCATTCCTGCCCTTGTCATTGATCTATTTTCTATATCTATGAGCTATGAGAAGGAAATGGCAACTCACTCCAGTATTCTTGCCTGGAGAATTCCATGGACAGAAGAGCCTGGTGGGCCACAATCCACGGGGTCGCAAAGAGCCGGGCATGACTGAGCGACTAACACTGTGAGCTTGGTCTTCATTTTGCTTTGTTTTTCAGATTCCACATATAAGTGAGAGCATGCAACACTTGTTTTTCTCTGTCTGACTTATTTCAATTAGCATAATGCCCTCAAGGTCCATCTATGTTGTTACAAATAGAAAGATTTCACTCTTTTTATGGTTGAGGGGAGGCTTCCCAGGTAAAGCAGTGGTAAAGAATCCATGTGCCAGTGCAAGAGATGCGAGTTTGAGCCCTGGGTGGGAAAGATCCCCTGGAGGAGGAAATGGCAACCCACTCCAGTATTCTTGCCTGGAAGATTCCATGGACGAAAGGAGCCTGGTGGGCTACATTCCATGGGGTAACAGAGTCGGCATGACTGTGACTAAGCACACAGAGCACAATATTCCATACTGTCCATCAATGGACACACTTTATTTCCATATCTTGGCTATTGTAAATGATGCTTAAATGAACATGAGGATGCAGATGTCTTTTGAAGTTAGTGTTTCTGTTTCCTTATGACAAATACCCAGAAATGAAATTTCTATATCACATGGTGGCTCCATTGTTAGTTTTTTTAGAAAGTTCCATACTGGTTTTTTTTTTTTTTTCATAGTGGCTGCACCTCATAGCTCAGTTGGTAAAGAATCTGCCTGCAATGCAGGAGACCCCAGTTCGATTGCTGGGTAGGGAAGATCCCCTGGAGACAGGATAGGCTACCCACTCCAGTATTTGTGGGCTTCCCTGGTGGTTCAGTTGGTAAAAAATCCGCCTGCAATGCAGGAGACCCTGGTTCAACTCCTGGGTTGGGAAGATCCTCTGGAGAAGGGATAGGCTACCCACTCCAGTATTCTTGGACTTTTCTCACAAACATTGCACAAGGGTTTTCTTTTCTCCACATCCTCACCAACATTTGCTATTTCTTACCTTTTTATAATAACCATTCCAATGTATATAAGGTGATATCACTGTGGTTTTGATCTGTATCTCCCTGATGATTAGTGATCTTGAATCTTTCCATGTTGGCCATTTGAATGTATTCTTTGGAAAAATACCTATTCAGGTCCTCCACCATGTTGTAATCAGGTTGTTTGTTTATTTGATATTAAGGTGTATGATTTCTCTCTATATTTTGGATATTAGACCTTTATCAGATAATATGTGTTACAAATGTCTTCTCCCGTCTGGCATCCTGCCTTTTCATTTTGCTGATTGTCTTCTTTGCTGTGAGGAAGCTTTTCAGGTTGACGTAATACCACTTGTTTACTTTAACTTTTGTTGCCTTTGGTTTTGGGGTCAAATTAAAAAAAAACTATTACCAAGCCCCATGTAACTTATGCTTTCTTCTAGGAGTTTGATGGTTTCAGGTCTTACATTCACGTCTTTAAGGCACGGTGAGTTAATTTTTGTGTATGGTGCAAAATACTGGTCCAGTTTCATTCTTTTGTGTATGATCATCCAGTTTCCCCAGCAAAACTTATTAAAGAGACAGAGCTCTCTATTCTGTTTCATTGATCTATGTCTCTTCTTATGCCAATACCATACTATTTGGATTACTAGAGCTTTGTAATAAAGTCAGGGGTTATGATGTCTTCAGATTTGTTCTTCTTTCGCAAGATTGCTTTGGTTATTTAGGGCTGACCTTCTTTGATTCCATACAAATGTCAGGATTGCTCAGTTTCTGTGGAAAATGCCATAGGAATCCTGATAGGGATTACATTGCATCTGTAGATTGCTTTGGGTGGTATGGACATTTTAATCATATTAATTCTTCTAACCCATGCATACAGAATATATTTCCATTTATTTGTGTCCTCTTCAATTTCTTTCACTAATGTCTGATAAGTTTCAGGGTACAAGTCTTTCACCTCCTTGGTTAAATTTATTCGTAGGTATAGGACAAAATTTTTTTAACCTGTCATTTTCCTAGCTTCCTTTAAATTATCTCTGAAAACGGAAGGTAGGATACTATGGACTAAATGTTAAATTAACAGATAAATAATAATGCTAGTAGACAATGTTTTTCCTAACACTCAACCAACAGTATCAGCCAAAACTACTTGCTTGGCACACCTGTGTTCTCTGTTCCTGCCTAGCCTCTGGCAGAAAGACCTAGAGAAAAGACAGGGCTAAAAGCAGCATAAAGAGGAAACACGGTACGGAATAAAAGCAAAGCAAGTTTGAATATCCAGCAGTGACTGTTCAGTCTTTGCAATTCATCTTCTTTTAGCCTTGGACTTAGGCAACACTGAAGAAAAAAAAGAATGAAGATAGATAAAGCAGAGTCTGGGAGAAAGAAAGAAACCAAGAATATGGGGGGAAATGCTTGAAAAGGAGGAGGTGCAACTGCCATAATATTTTGGGATGTTAAGTATTATGAGAAAATTAGATTAGGAAATATTTGAAAATGGAACTGATATTAGAACCCTTCTCCTCACTCTCACCTTCAAAGTGCTTTTTTCCTCTGCTGCGTTTATGAACATGGGATGCAAATGTGGCCCTATATTTATCAGTAACGGTTGGGCCATCTCTCCAGTTTTTGTCGTTGTATTTCCAGGTGTTTTTTTTTTCTCCTAATCTATGAGAAGAGCATGTTATCTCATAGTTCAGTGAAAATACTATGGTGATAGTATTTCTGTTAGTTTTGAGCAGATAGGATCTGCCATGCTCCGAGGCACGCACACCCCATGGACAGTATTTTGCTACATGTGAACCCATGGACATTATTTAACTCCAATAGGCTCTCTCCAAACCTGCTGCATCAGAACCATTGTTTTGTCCATTCTTCTGCGCCATCCTTAATTTATGTATTGCTGGCTTCAGAGACTGCTTTGATTAAAGCCGCTTTGACTTAAGTTGAGGCTTTTGGCACAATGTTCAGTTTCACATTTGACATCAGGTAATATTTACAACAGAAGAACAGATCCATCATGTCATTTTTACCAGTGCTCATGTCTTGTGACTTATTACTAGAAGTTTAACTTTGGCGAGGTGAATTTCGCCATAGGGAAATGCAACATGTGAAATTTCTTAATGTATAAAAGTGAAAGTCAAGGTAACTTTGAGTTC